AGCACGATGGTGCACATCACGATGCCCGGGATGTTGAGGATGCAGCCGACGCGCGTGGACTGGACGCGGCAACCTGGAACTCGTGCCGGACGATCTTCTGGTCGAAGCGACGAAGAAGAGGAAGAAGAGGAGGATGACGGAGAGGATGCAGAAGGAGAAGTCGCACAGCACCGGGAACTTGGTGATGGCGAGGGTCTGGGCGGGGGCGTTGTGTGTTGTGCTCTTGTGCCCCAGGCACGGGGGGGGGGGGGGGCGCCCGGCACGTTGGACGCCGAGCACGTTTGCGATGGCACTTGCGACGGCCATGTCGCCCTCGCCCTTGCGCGCGACGACCATGGAGGAAAGCGAGTCGGGGACGGAGGTGCCGGAGGAGAGCACGATGGTGCCCATCACGATGCCCGGGATGTTGACCGCCATGAGGGTTGCGCCGGCGACGTCCCTCGGCATCTCTTCAGACCTCCTCGATCGCCTCGGCGAAGAAATCGTCGCAGACGATCGCCTCGGCGAAGAAGTCGACCGCCAGGAGGGAGGTGCGCGCCAACCGCCGCCGTTGTTCAGACCCCGGGGGGGGTGGGGAGTCGAGGGTCTCCTGTGTCTGTCGGTGTCATGCGCGCGCTGTGGGTGTCTGTCGGTGCGTTTCAGCATCTATGCGCGTGCTTGCGCCGGCAAACCTACACAAGCAGAATGGGCGGGGCGTCAGAGCCGGCCGGGCGGAGCGGGCGGAGCGGCGTACTTGCGTGAGCATGCGAGGCCGGAGGGGGGGCAGCCCTCGCGCCGCGAGCGAGAGCGCATCGCGTGGCGGGGTGAGGTGAGGGGGCGGCGGGTTCCGTGAGCAATAGGCGTCGCGGGGGTCTAGGTGTGCAGCTTGCGGCGGCCAAGTTCGGGCGCAATGCGGCGCGGCAAGCGCGAGCGGACGAGGAAAGTGCATGCAGTTGCCTTGACGATTTGAGGCGGATTTCTGCGGGGGACGAGAGATTACGCTGATTCCACGCATTTTTTTTTCTTCTCTTTTCAATCAAAAAGAGCGCCTTCAGCACTACTCTATCGAGGTCTCGCGGAGGGCATTTTTTTTATGGGAGTTTGAGGAGTAGACCGTCGCCAACTGTCATGTCGGTAGCGGCTCGAGCACCGCTCGCTGCTGGAGCGCGGTTGATCGCGGCGCCGACGCCGCGGCGGCGCCATCTCGCGCGGCGAGAGACGGCGCTGCATCGGCGCCAAAACAAACGGGAGGTCGCGGCGCGGCCGCGGCAGCAAAAACATCGACGTTCGCTTCTGCTTCTGTTCTCGTCTCGTCTTGTCGCAGGCGCACACGCGCGCGATCCGCGTCGCTCCGCGAGGACACGACCACCGGGATTCGAACCGGCAGCATAAGAGCGCCGGCTCGAACGCCGGCCGACGTGCCACGGAGTCATGCAGATGCTGTACGCTCTGCAAAACCGGCTCATCATATATATGACTGGTTTTGTCCGCGGGCGCGAGGGCACTGCGGAGGAGGGCGGCGGCGGCGGGGGCGGCTGCAGCAGCACACGGGCTGGCGGCGGCGCGCGGACGGTGGCGGCAAAGGGGCGGGTGGCGGCGGCGCGAGGGCAGAGGGGCGGAGGCGGCGTGGGCGGCGGAGGGGCGGGTGGCGGCAGCAGCTGTCGACGTCCCCCTCCGCACGCCCCCTCGTCCAGCGGCAGCGGTGGGCTCTGCGCCCGTGTCAAGAGGTGGAGTCGGCGCGGGAGGCGCGCTCGCCTTGATGCCAAAGCCGGCGGTGGTTTAGGCGTCGGCGATGGTCGGCGACGTTGATCGTCAAGGCGACGAGGTCGGGCAGGAGGGAGGTGCGCGCCAACCGCCGCCGTTGTTCAGTCGAGGGTCTCCTGTGTGTCTGTCGGTGTCTGCGCGCGCTGTGGGTGTCTGTCGTTCGGTGCGTGTCAGAATCACACGGTGCGTATGAGCCCAGCTAACATGTTTTGCGCCGCTTCAGGGGTGAGGGGGCAACGTCTTTGTGTGTGTGCGCGCGCGCCGCTGCAGGAAAGAGTGCGGCCCTCGGGGTACGCCTCGTCCGGCCCCATCCGAGGGGGCTGCCGCCCCTCCTCGCCCCCCCGGGCTGGACCTCGCCCACCGCGGGCTGGGGTGCCGCGCGTTGATCTGCGCCTCGAGCCAGCTGTACTCGGGCCGCGACGGCAGCGCGCCCTCGTGCAGGATCGTGCCCTCCGCCCCGTCGTCGAGGAAGACGAACGCGCACCAGCCGACCCCGTGCTCGCCAACCTACTCCTCGCAGCTTCCGTTTGACGCGGGGCCGCTCTGCCTTCCTCGGCCGGCCCCTTGCCCGCACGCCAGCTTGACATCCTCGCCGCGGCAGGCAAACTCCTCAAAGGCGAAGCTGCACTCGTAGCCCCCCTCTCAATACTCAAACGGTCAAAGACGACGGTGCGGCCTTTTCGGGTGGCTGACATTGGAGAGTCGCTCGGCGCTGTGTCGCAGACCAGCCACTGACCCGAGATAAAAAAGAACGGCCCCACCGAGGGCCCACACCGGACAGTGTTTAGTAAAAAAGTTTATATAGCGCCTTCGCGCCGCGCCCCCGGCCGCCCGCGCTCGGCTGGGCTATGTCGGCGCACTCACTTCTTGGCGGGGGCCTTGCACACCACGGTGGCGCACGCCTCGCCGCCCCAGGGGAACTTGGTGCCCGGGGCGGCCCACACAGTCGCAAAGAGGACCACAAAGCTCGCCAGTCCGGTCGCGGTCGCGGCCGCCCAGAACGGTGTCACCTGCGGGGATGCGGGAAGCGGGGGTGGGGCCGCTGCCACGGCAAGGTGCGGTCCCGGCTCCGCCCTGCCGCAGAGCGCTGTCGACGCGCGCCTTGAAGTCCTTGAAATTCTCCGCCGAGAAGAAGTCGGGCATGTCCTGGTAACAGCTCAATGGCTGGCTCAAACGACATCACATGCACGCGTCTCGGCATGTTGGCCCTAGCTCTACTCGCACTCCTTTTGCTGCCCCGTCCGCGGGGTCGGGCCCTGGAAGAAGAGGTAGTCGGTCCCGGACAGGAACCCCTCTCCCTGCGGGCCGCTGCTCTCCGAGATCCACTCCCAACCCGGACCCCAGCCGGCGGCGCGGTCAGCGGGCTTGGGCTTCGCCTTGCCCGTGTTGCCGTAGCCCTTCAGATCGGCGGGTGACTTCTTGCCTGCCACGAAGGATGGGGAGGGGGCAGCGAGGAGAGAGCACATAGTATCGAGGAGAGAAGCTACGGGCGCGAGAGAGAGAGCGGGAATAGTGCAGGGTGGACGGCGCTCACCGGAAAATTTCACAGGCGGAAGCGCCATCGCCAACGACGGGACCCGCGCTGAAGAGGAGTGAGCGACGGGAGCAACTGGCACTCGGAGGGCCGATATCGTCGCCGGCAGCAGCAGAGAGGCGAGCCAGCAGATGGCCACCTGCATCGCAGAGAGCTTCTCGAGGTTGGTACCCTTTTGGTACCGACGCGGTTATTTTTCTCTCTCTCTCAGTGTATGTGGCTCTTACGTACATTCCCGTAGGAGGACTCTGCTGACAGGGTTTGCGATGAGGAGCGATCGAAGTTTTTCTTCTTTCAACGGCACCACGATCGCACCAGACAAAGAATTCAACAGACACAGCACAGGACACCAAACATTCAAGAATTTTTTTTATTTTTGTTGTTTCAACGGCACCACGATCACAAGACAAAGAATTCAACAAAAGCACCACAGGGACACAAAAAAAATTCAGGAAAAAATTGGCATGTTGGTAAGAGCGCTAACCCATGAAAAAGAATTTGCCGCGTATGGCGTCGGCGTCATCCATCAAGGCTCTGGGCGCCTTCATGATCGGGATGGGCTGCATCAACGGCGGCATCGCTCTGTACATGATGCGCGTCCGCGACCAGCACCGCCCGAAGTTGTTATGTACCGAATCATCGCCACCGCAGTGAGCGCCCTCGACCGCAGTATGCGCTCATCTCCAGAAGCAGCGCCAGCGTTTCCACCGGATGAGCCGCAGCAGCCGCAGAGCTAGCTCTTCGCCAACGCTGCCCACCGGAGCCTGCTCTACCGACTACCGTGCTCTTTCGAGGTGTCAGCGCCGCGCCGCGCCGCCAACGGGGAGCATAGGCTCCTGTTTATGCCGCGTTCCCCGAGTTCATTTAAACAGAGCCGACGGTGGGGGAAAGCTCCGTATGTACGCTGTACGGGAGAGGTGAGGTAAGGTAAGGTAAACGTCTGTACGGGAGAGACAAAACAGTCGCGCCATTCCCTCCACGGCCACGCCAACGCAATTGGGAGTGTCCGGACTGGGTGGGCTCTGGTCTCTGGACACTGGAGTGTACGGGAGAGACCTTTTCCGTCCGCCTGGAGGCGCGTGCGGGGCTGCACAGAGCAGACCCGGGGAACTGTGGCCGCGCCACGCGTGTCGTCTAAGTTCGTGAACTCCGATCACCAGCGCGTCTAAGTTTGAGCCCGTCTCCTGCCGCGGGGGCTAGAGAGTACGTACGCTCTAAGTTCACAGCGCTCGCGCGCCTGCGTGTGCGAGCAGGTCTATATATTTGGGCAACCCTCTACCCGCCTACTACGGTACCCAAACCAAATAACCATTCCGGCGTTTCCGCATTCCCCCGGGTCGCGGGTGTGTGGAGATGCGATCGCCCCCAAACCAGCCGCCGGCGATGGCGTCGGCGGCGGCGTTGGCACCGCCGCCGGTCGGGGACATCCCGGCGAGTCTGCACGCACTCAGCCGGCTCCGCGACGTCAGCATGTTCCACCCGGGCGCTGATCTCACCCTGCTCGAGCCCGCCCACTCGAAGCGCCCAAGCAAGCGCCAGGCCGACCGTTCGCTCTCTTCGCTGGGCGACGTTGCCGAAGCTGAGGCGAGGGCCAAGCGGATCCCAGTTTACGCGGGAGATGACATCACCCTCCGGGCGGTCGCAAAGCACAACGGGCGGCTCTACATCCTGCATGTGGACGAGGAGGGCAAGCTCACCCTCGTCTTCCCCAACGTCCTGTCCCCGGACAACGCCGTCCGACGGGGCGATAAGGTGCAAGTCCCGCCGGACGGCAGCGAGCGGCGCTACCTCCAGATCTCGGAGGCGCGCGCGGGCAAGTCGCTTGGCCGCGAGACCTTCTTCGCAGTGTCGTGCACCGAGAGCCTCGAGGGGCTAATGACGCCGCGCATCGAGCTCAATCGAAAGCTCGAGCCGCTCTCGCTGGAACAGGCGCACGCGCTGCTCATGACGATCGAGCGCGCGCCGACGATCGGTGGGCTGGGAGACCGTGCGCTTTCGAGCCTCGCAGATGCCACCGCGCCCGAGCTGGGCGTCTCGTCCCTTGAGCTGCTGAGCGTCGCGAGAGGGGGGCAAGGCGGCTCCTCGAGCTTCGAGACGCCTCAGAAACCATCGCTGCGGCCACGGCCCGAGAAGAAGCCGAGCGCTTCCAATCCGTTCGGGATGATGGGGATGCAAAAACCGCCGCCGAACCCCTTTGGCGGCGGTTCGAGCGGCCCGCCCAATCTGCTGGACATGCTCTTTGGGGGCGGCCTCGGGATGCCCACGCGTGGCAAGCGCAGCCGCGGAGTCCCCGCAAGCTCAGACGGAGGCCCCTCGCGCCGCGCCAGGAAGGCTACGCCGCCGCCCCTCTGAGGGAGCACACCCGTGAAGCCGCACCGGTCGAGAGACCGTCGAGTTGGGTCTGAAGGTTGGGCGAGGAGAGGCGATGGCGATGGTCGGAAAGGGGGGGGTGAACTGAGATGGTACCAAAGCCACAGCTGCAGTGCAAAAAGATGTGTGAAAAGAATTGACTTCTTGGCCGAATGCGGAATGGCCAAGGCGGCGAGGCTCACAAACACAATAGCACATCACGTACTTTGGGAGAGTCTCAGTCTCTCTTGAGCGTCCGGCCTGTCAGCTGTAGCAGCGTCTCGGGCGAGCGGTAGAGGAGGAGGATCGTCTCGTAGAGCTGCGCCTCGCGCAGCAGCGAGCCCTCCCGCCTCGCGATGGCCACCGCCTCGCACAGGTCAAAGACGTCGCGCGTGTGCGGCATCTCGTCGTACACGAGCTGGTAGCGCGTGCCTGATCTCAGGCAATCCCGGGTCGCCTCGGGCCATCTCGGACAATCTCGCCTTCCACGAGCCGGTAGCGCGTGCCGCCGAGCACCGAGCGGACGAGTCGCGCGATGCCAAAGACGACGACGGAGTAGAAGGCGACCACGCCGCCGGCGAAGAAGTGCGAGCCGGCCGTGCCGCCCGCGAGCCGGTCTGCGACGACGATGACCTGAAGAGATTCGTGAAGCGGAGACATCGCTGCCTCCGTCCACGCTGGGCTACTCACACCCCGCGCTTCTACGCTCTCCACTGACCTGCAGCCCGCGCCCCTTGCGCGCTCCGAAGGGCGACTCGTCGTCCTTGGCCTGCTGCAGCGCCCACCACTGCTGCGAGTCCCTGTACTCGCTGCTGTTGGTCGAGTGGAGGACGACGGACAGCTGCTGCATCGTGTGCCTAAACGAGGACGCTGTCGGTCGAGAGAGGAGACACGCGGACACCGCGACGCACAGCTGCATCGTGGCGTGCCACGCCATCTGCACCGAGTCGCCTACCAGAATCGAGAGGCGCGCTCACCAGAGAGCCGTCGGGCGCGAAGAGCCGCCTGCGCCGAGTTTGCCGATCGCGCGCGCTGGCTGTTCCGCCACCGCCGGCAGCCGCACGAACTTTGGGAAGAGGCCGCCAACTTGGATCTCGACGTCGACCTACAGGGGACAGGCGCCGCCTCAACGCAAGGCGGTGAGGCGGCCGCCCGCCTTGAGCCCTCGGGCGTCAACTGCGCGGCCGCGGGCGCCAGGCTCGGACGCGTTGAGGGCCACCGCCATTTCGCGGCGCTGCTTGCTGCTGAGCACCACGGAGCGCGAGAGAGAGACGCTGGTGGTGCCGCCGACGGGCAAGCGGCGCGTCCACTCGACGGCTGCCTCCAGGCTCACCTATTCACCCACAGTAAACAGCTCTCGTGGGGGGGTGAGGCCAACTCGGCGGCCGCCTCCAGGTCTAACCCCTGCGGAGCTCGACTCGACGGCGGCTTTGAGCTCGGCGAGCGCGGTGGGGTTGATGCCCCAGACAAGGTCGCTCGCCTTCGGCAAGGCCCGAGGTTAGCCGGAAACAGGCCGAGGCTGGCCGACATGCGCCGGATTGGCCGAGGTTCTCCAAGATTGGCCGGGATTGGTCGCTCGCCTCGGCGAACGAGACGCGCTGGTAGTCGACGTTGGCGTCGAGCGGCAGCAGGTACGCATACCCGCAGTCCTTCTCCGACTTCCTGTCCTGTAGAAGGACGACTCCCTCTCTGAGTACGACGGCTCGCACAGCCGCGTCCCCTGTCCGACGTCTCCTCCTGAAGCTTGTCGCCCGAGCAGTCGGCCGACAGGACCGGGCTCGTCAGCGGGAGCGGCAGCTCGATGTCGTTGTTGAAGCGAGTGGTCGCGCCGAGCGGGAAGAGGCCGGTCGGCGTGCGCAGCGTCAGGCGCACCTGAGGTCAGGTGTGGTGTGGCGAACTTCTCCACGCGCACAAGGGTGGTGGGGGCGACCCTCGGCGACTCCACGTCTGGTGACAGGAGCCCCGCCGCCTTCAGAGTGCTAGCTATGTCTATGTGGCGCGCCTGCGCCGATCGCACGAGGTTGGCCTCCGAGATCGGATTGGCGGAGGAGAAGACAAACATCGGCCCGAGGATGAGGAGCAGCACGGCGGCGACGAAGAGCGCCCCGGTGCCGAGCTTGGTCTCGACGGTGCGCTGCGCGCCGCGCGGGCTCCGGAGCTTGAAGGCCATCGTCGCGCGCACCGAGACGAGCCCGGCGTAGATGTCCTCGAGCTTGAGCCACTCGAAGAGCGAGAGCGAGGTGCGGGCGACCGTCCAGTCCAGCGAGGTCCGCATCTCCCAGAGGAAGGGGAAGGACATGGCAGCGAGGTGGAGGTAGTACCGCGAGAGGCCGGCCGAGCCGGTCAGCGGGTGCTCGGTCGGGATGAGCGGCATGCCTGTTCACAGGCACAGGCGTGTGAAGAGACGCTGTTCACAGCAGCATCCTCCGCTCGGTCGGGGGGGGAGCGGCACGCCGTGCTTGAGCTGCAGCGCGGAGAGCAGCAGGTAGAGGCAGCAGAGCAGGTAGAAGCCGAGCCCCGCCCGACTCCGCGTGCAGATCGGCTGCCCCGCCGGCGCCTCGGTGCCGTCGCAGTAGTCCTTGTTGCACGCCCAGACGGGCAGCGCCGACGCGCCGCCTCTCGCGAGCCCTGTTCACAGCTGCAGCCGTGAAGAGGCGCCGCTCCCACCCTCACGGCGCCTCGAGAGCCCCTCGGGGCAGGACGCCGATGCAGAAGCTGGCGTGGAGGGCGATGACGAGCGAGATATGCAGCGCGAGCTTGAGGGCGGGGGCGAGCTGCGGCCGCCTAGGGCCAGGGTTCCGGCTAGGTCGGGGCAGGGTGGGGTTGCCGGTGGGGGGGAGAGCTTGAGGGCGGGGGCGAGCTGCGGCCGCCTCCCCGGCACCACCCGTGACCGCAGCTCGTCGAGCGGCGTGCCGAGCACCTGTTCACAGCAGGAGGTGTGAAGAGACGCTGCTCACGCCCACAGCTCGTCGAGCGGCGTGCCGAGCACCGGAGTCGCGAGGACCGTCCGCTCCGAGCCGAGATGCGCATCCGCGCGAAGGTAGAGCGGCCTCACACGCGCAGCCTCCGACGAGGCCCCGACAGCCAAACAGCCAGCGACGGCGGGCGAGGCCTCCGCACCGCCGTCCTGCGCCGCAGACGGCGCCGCAGAGCCGCCGCCCTGAGCGGCCGCGGTGCTGCCCGAGAGCTCGCGGACCTGTTCTCCAGCCCATCGGTCGGTGGTGTCGCCTCGCGAGTTTTTCTTTTTATGCCTCTTCCCGACAGCTCGCGCACCACGGCGCTCCGCGGCGTCTCGACGGTCGCGACGGAGGCGACGCCGCCGCCCGGCCGCTGCGGCGCGACGTCACTGGGCAGCGCGGCGACGGACGGCGGCACCCACAGCCCATAGATGACCTATTCGTGGCGGGCTGCTCGAGTGGATGAGAGCCGGCGAGGAGCGGCGGCAGGTCGCAGCCCGGTGAGGCGGCCCTTTCGGCGACTGTGACCAGCATCGCCTGTGAATGGATCGGCTCACCATGAGTGACTGAGTCATCGATGGATTGATTGGCGGTGATGGCCGGCCTCGCCTAGGAGTGGCGAGTGAGGGAGGGGTGAGTGTGAGGGAGTGGCCAGCCCGCGACGCCGGCCAGCGTCGCCAGCAGCAGCACCAGCACCATGCCGAGGTCGAACTGCGAGGCCGCCAGCTGCGCGGTGATGTCCGAGGTGGGGCACGCGTTGGCGGCCAGGTCGGCGCGCAGCGAGGGGAAGCCGAAGACCACGTACAGCTGGAGGATCAGCAGCACCACCACCGAAGACATGTGGTAGTCGGCGCCGCCGGTGAGCGCGACGCCTACACTCGCAGCCGCAGCTGTGAAGGGAGCGCTGCTCTCGGGGGATAGTCGGCTGCCTCTTGAGCGAGACGGCGGGCGGGACTGCCCCTCGGCCACATCTCGGCTGGATCTCGGCCGTCTCTCGGCTATTCGACGCCGGGAGGGACGACACGAGACACAAAGGAGGAGCAGGCGCGCCAGCAGACCGCCACTCCCCGCGCCGCGGCGCCGCCCGCCCGCACGACGTCGCTGTGTGTCGGCAGCTGCAGCGAGGCGCGCGCGCCGCCGCCGATGAAGAAGTCGCCTCGGCCGAGGTAGACGTCGCGCTCCGACGCCTCTTCCGACTCCGACTCCTCGAGGTCGGAGCCCTCCCCGCCGCTTTGCTCACCCCCGCTCTGCTCATCCCCGCTCTGCTCACGCCCGCTCTGCTCCGTCCCGCTCGCCGAGCCGCCCGAGGCGCCCTCCGAGGGAGGGGGGCGGGCGGCGGGCGGCGGGTGCGGGAGGGCGGGGCGAGCCACCCCAGTGACAAGCAGCATCTCGCGGTGCACGAGCGTCAGCACGAGCGCCACTAGATCGGGCAGCAGCCCGCGCAGCAGGCCCTGGTGCTGCGGCAGCGACGCGCGGCCGCTGAACTTGTGGAGGCCGAGCGCCTATTGAGACTGAATTCCCCATGAGCCACTCATCGATTCGTCACTCGGACTTGTCGAGGCCGAGCGCGTAGTCGACGCGGCGAGAGAGGGTCGGCATGAAGAGCGACTCGGGGACGGCGCTCGAGGTGGAGGAGCACCAGTACTCCGTGCCGTTGGCGGAGCCGTGCGCGGTGCGCAGCGAGAGCGGCGGCGTGCCGCAGACGAGCGGCAGCTGGTAGGCGAGCTTGATAGAGATGAGGGCGAGGAGGTAGGCGAGCAGCAGCGAGAAGAAGGCGCGGGGCGGGCACGGAGACTCGAGGCCGAGGTAGAGCAGCGTGGCGAGGGGCAGCGGCAGCGAGGTGAGGGAGGCGTTCACGGCGTGGTCCACGATGAGCGCCACGCAGAGCAGCTCGAGCCTGCTCAGACTTGGCATCGAGAGGTCAAGTCAGAGCCGCGCATGAGGAGGAGTCGCTGCGAAGCTCTTTCTGGTTGTCACGGTCTATCTTCCGCATCTGAGCAGCGCGGGCGTGTGCGAGAGCAGCGCCGCCCACGCAAGCCCAAAGAG